TCTCTCTCTCTCTCTCTCTCTCTCTCTCTCTCTCTCTCTCTCTCTCTCTCTCTCTCTCTCTCTCTCTCTCTCTCTCTCTCTCTCTCTCTCCAGCTATGATGCCCAGCACCGTTGAGTAACACTACTCTCACTTGTGTCTTGACCGCACAATACAGCAGCAGAGCTTCCGCAAGCGGACGAAAGAAAATTATATTGACACGTCGCTTCAACCAGCCTTCTGTACTTGCTGCAGGCGCCAAATTTGGGATTTTTCCAGACCGGTACCATGTGTGTGTCGGTCGCAGTCTACTTCTAACATTTTCGGAGTTTTCACAGACTTTCCTGGGCCTGAGCTGCATGTGCCTAGCCTACCAGGACTCTAGGACCTACCGGGCTACTCAACGAGTTTACAGGTCCTACGGAAACTATGTTACAAGGGACTGGGAACCAGGACTGGGACTAAGGAATGCATGAAATCCTTTCAGGGCCAATTAACTCCCTTTAAAGTTTAAACCCCATTCACAGTGAGACAGTTGCCACCAGACTCAATGATAAGACCGTCTGGGCACATCTCAGTGGCCTGAGAAATGCCCCACCATGTTTCTTTTTCACCTCATTTGTTGGATCGCCTGGGAGAACCAGGCAGGTGGGTCCAGGCGCACGTAGTCCACCTAGGAATGTGGTCCCGGGGCACTCTGGTGCTATATATACGTATGCAATAGAAAATGTATATACATATGTACATATACTCACACATGTATATATATCGTCATCGAGATCTGCCCAGTGAACCGCAGGCAGAAAGGGAGAAAAGCACAAGAAATGGGGGGCTGTGACAGGCTGTTTCAGCGAAATTTCACTGTCTCATCTCGGGCTGAACTCCGTACAGTCTGCAGAATCCCCTAACTGATGACAATGTAAGCCATGATCCACCTTAACCCCAGCTGCTGTTTAGTGTCACGTTAGTGAAAAGATCGATGAAGTCAAATAGTCGTACCGCCATACCTAGTAGCCATACAAAGTACAGGAGAGACATGGAGTGAGCTAAAGCAGAGCTCTTTCAAGTCTGGCAGTAAGAGGGATCATTCAGACATTGATTCTTGTTCATCCATTCATTCATTTGTTGTTATTGTTATATCTTCTTAACAACAAGCTGCTGGCCATCACGGCTTCGCCCAGAGCACTGAGGGAAGGCAGGAGGGGATCCTTGTGCCTCAACGTCAAAAACAGGCAAACCTAAAAGTGAAAGAGAGAAACAGATCCTATTATGCAAGTCCAGTTTCCAAATGGTTGCGGTTATGGGTTAACTCTCCCTAATGAATCCCAGCCTTCTTATTCTGCTCAACTCTGCTCTATGCGGGGAGCAATACCCCGGCTCCTAATACCTGGCACGAGCTGGAAAGCATCCTCTTTGCTCCATAATAGGATAGGTAGTGTGAGGGATATGAGTGAAGAATATACCTTAGTATTTTTACAAAAAACGAAAGAGAGAAACAGAAACCTTTTGAGGCACTTTCTCTCTCCACGTAACCTTCTGCTGCTATGTGGGCTGGGTGCAGCACTATGTGTCCTCAGTGTGGCCCTATGTGGGCTCGATGCAGTGGGCACAGTCTTACCATGCAGGCTAGGTGCAGCACCATCTCGGCTCGATGTGGTATCATGTGTGGGCTGGCAGGGTGCCGTGCATATCATGTGAGCTGGCTGCAGTAGTATGTGGGACGAGTGTCGCACTATGCGGTCTGGATGTAGTGTTCTGTGGGTTGGGTGTGAAGCAATTGAGGTTCATCTCTCTCTCTCTCTCTCTCTCTCTCTCTCTCTCTCTCTCTCTCTCTCTCTCTCTCTCTCTCTCTCACACTCTCTTTTTTTCTCTCTCTCTCTCTCTCTCTCTCTCTCTCTCTCTCTCTCTCTCTCTCTCTCTCTCTCTCTC